AAATGGTTTCACAGCTATCTATCTGAAAGGATGCAAATTGTAAGGCATGGGAATGTAACATCTGACCCTGTTGTCCTAAAAAAGGGTGTCCCACAAGGATCAGTTCTAGGTCCCTTGCTTTTTATCATTTATATAAACAATGTTTGCAGTAAGTTTAAACACTCACAGTATCATTTGTATGCTGATGATACAATTATGTATTCTTGTGCCCCTACACCTGAGGCTGCATGTGCAAATTGCAGTTAGATTTTGCTTCATTACAATCTGCCCTGTTTGATTTGAAACTACTTTTAAATGCAAAAAAGACTAAGGCGATGATATTTGCACCAATAAATACTAAAGTCCCAGCTCTTGCTATCAACACATTGCATAATGAAGCCATTGAACTTGTTGATACTTATAAATACCTGGGTATGTGGCTGGACAAAGGTTTTACCTTTAAAAAACATATTGAAGCTCTTGCTACAAAACTTAAATTCACTCTGGCATTTTTCTATAGATTGAAATCATGCTTTTTTAATACTACACGAAAAAAACTGGTTGCAGGACTATTTTTGTCTCAGATAGATTATGGTGATATCATCTATCAATTTGCATGTCCATCTACTCTGTTAATGCTTGATCCTCTTTATCATGCGGCTCTCAGGTTTATTACAAACGCTGGCTATCAGACACATCACTGCATTTCTACAGGATGGTAAATTGGCCATCACTCAAAGTACGCAGGTTGCTACATTGGCACATTTTTAGTTATAAAGCTATTTTAGGTATTTTGCCTTCTTATATCTGTTTTAAATTTGTTTATATGCAAAGTACATATCATTTAAGATCGAGTGACGGACTACTCTGTAAGGTACCAAGAATGAGGACAGAAACAGGAAAGAGGAGTCTGTCTTATTATGGCCCTTCGTCATGGAATAAACTCCAGTCTAGACTTAAGATTGGTGCACTAATTTCCTTGGGTGCTTTTAAAAAAAAAATATCTGACATGCTGATGGATATATGCACTTGTTTTTTAATTAATGGTAGGTAGATCTTGACTTTTAGTCCATATCTGGTTTGTTAATATATTTTAAACTCATTGTATTCTGTCTAGATGTAGATATTTTGTAAATTTTGTGTAAATCTGAATTGTATTTTGATTGATGTAATGTATTGTCTTTAGCTCATGGTTTAAAACTGTGCTATACAGGACTCCCTTGTAAAAGAGACTGTGTCTCAATGGGACATTTCCTGTTTAAATAAAGGTTATATATATACAAGTGACTTAAGTTGCATTTAAGGTGTACATTATGATCTAGGTGTTGCTAGTATAGGAAAGCTGTGTGATGTACCTTATATGGGGACGGCTCAATTCTTTCTCCAAACAGCACCTGACCCAAGTTCTCAGATGGACGCTTCTCTGCCTCATCAGCACAAAAATCAAACCTGAAAGATTAAAAGTAATGAAGTATAAAACTTTGTGGACACAATTAACTATCAAAATAAACCATACACAACGTGACAACACAAAATCTACCACTTGACAATCTGTCCAGTATGACTGGTTAGGTTTCAGATATGCTTACTGCACTTCTAAGATGGATTTCATGTTTAATAATTTATCAGGTGATATGTTTAAACTGAGTGAAAAATGTTTTGTCTGTCAATATTCTCTATACAGTTGACTACTGGGTGTGGCCATTTTAAAAGGATTCAAATTCTTAGTGAACAACTTTATTCGCTGTGTAAAATGTATGCTTGGGAAACAAATAATTTAACTGACATTAACCCAAACATTAAAACATTAATGAAGCTACAGTGGGTTTTTTTGTATCACCGTAAGATCTATCGTATCACAGTAACAAAATAGGATATGTACAGTTTGCAATAAAGATGTTTCTGTAACATCTCAAGTGCTTCTCTGTGTTCATATTATTACATACTCTTTATAACTCTTGATTTTGAGGCCTTGGCTGGATACAAGGAATATAGTTAACCCGAAAAATGTCAATTCTGTCATTATTTTACTCACCCCCATGTCATGTCAAAGCTGTATGACTTACTTTCTTCTGTGGAATAGTTTTAACCATTCAATGGAAGTCAATAACTGTAAGTAACTGTTTGGTTACCGAGATACTTCAAAATATCTTCTTTCCTTGAGCAGAACCTAAGTGTATTTTATTAAAAGAAAGCCGTCACATGTGTACTCCTGTTAATTCAGACAGAAAAACCTCAGGCGTTTGATCAGACAGTAAGTGCAAGGCTGATTAATAATGCAGAGCATATGCCTTATTGAATGTCTTGTGAGGAAAAGCAAGACATTTTTGCCTCCATTCGATTATACAGCAGTGGTTTGACTGAAAGGCCTCTGTGTTGTTAACATAACAGCACTCCCTCCTCAGCCTGCAGACAGTCTGAGCACGAATCTCTACATTCTCCTCCCCTCCCTGTCCAGGGTCTCGCCTCTGAGTTTCGCCTCACACCATTTCATCCTTTTCAGGTTTTCCTCAGCTTTGTAAAAGTCCAATCCAAAAGGAGTTACTCATGCAAAAACTGTGAGTACTAACTGGTTAACCATGCAAAAAGCACAGGAAATTTTAAGCAAAGTCATGCTGAAAGTGAGATTTCTTCAGTGTCATCCATTAACTAAAATTAAAACTATTCAAATTAGTTTACATTAATTAAAATGAAGCTGAAACAAACTAAATATAAATATTAGATGAAAAACAAGCTTTATTTTTATTTTTTAATTAGAAACACTGCCTTGGCAACCAACTAAAATAACATAAGTTTAAGTACTAAAATGATTAAAAGTAAAATTGATATAAATAAAGCTAAACAGAAATATTTTAAAAACAAAAACAAATAAAAACAACAAAAGCACATAAAATTACTTCAAATGAAAACTGAAAATATAAAAAATAAAAGTTGATTATTAATAAATACTATAACAGTATAACACTATCCATCATTAACAAAAATTACAAATGTATTACTCACGCTGTGTATTCATAGGGCAAAACAGACTCCACAGAATCCAGCCTGTTCACAAACAGCTCAATGGATGACTGTTGAAAAGAGAAGCAGTAAGGGTTAAGGCAATGTCCTCTGTATTTTCTTCTTTCCGTAAGGTGACACAGTTTGAAATTGATATCATTTACTTTTTTTTGACACGCAAGTATGCTATATTCCTGTCATGTGATGGCATCTATACAAAAACACATCTCTATAAATTATTAGAATGAAGGGTTTAGAAAAAAACAATTGCCATTGTGAACCATAGTCCCCACCAAAATGTCATAGTTACTACAGTAAAAACACATTCAAATAGGATCTCCTCGTGTAAAAAGGTTTTCGATGTCTTTTATCTTCTTGATGATGGTGTCATCACCATTTTATTGTAAAGTATTGTATGTATTGTAGGATAAAAATATTAAGTTTAGTAACGATTATATCTGGGTGGAAACTATGGCTACTACAATAACCATAGTAAGTTATTAATGAAATGCATTTAGCAATCAAATAGTTCACAGAGTATGATGAGAAACCCCCACTCAAGAATATGGAAATAAGGAGAAAAACTTGTCTCACACCTGTTGAACCAGTTTCAATGTGGACATGATATCACCAGTGAGACCTGCTATTCCCCCACCCCTTATTTAAACACATTATTGCATTACCTGCATAATTCAACAATAATATAATGAAAATTAAGTCATGCCACAGTCTTTAACTAGCCAATGGGATTCATCCAATTCATTATCATGCTTATGAAGATACTTTTAATTATCACTATTGTGTGCACTCACACTTCTGCTCTGTTTGGAAAATATTCTGGTTTACTTCAAAATTCTGCGGTGGGAGAACATAATTCACTCAAAAATGAAAATCATGTTTTTATCACCATACATTAAAAGTGAACTGATGCTGTCAGTTGCTAACATTCTTCCAAATGTCTCATTTTGTGCTATATGTAAAAAATAAATTTGATAAGAAACCACAGTGTGGGGACAAACTTCGGCTGATTAAATGAATACAGAATTTTCATTATTTAAGATTCCTTAAGAGTCCTTTTACTATTCCTTAAGAGTCTAAGCTCTGTTTGAGAAAAACACACGAGAATGAACGGAATCTCTTCTCTTGCAGGCCTCACAGACCTATCGGCAAAGAAAGTCAGTTTCATGGCAGTAGAAAGTTTGTAAAAGCGGTGAAGCGAGCAGGTTTAGCTCTTATCTTTATAAAGGCAATAGCGTTTCCACCACAACTAACACACATCAATAGCATAGCGAGCTTGCATCACGCAGCATAGAGACTCCGTTAGAGAGAAACACGACGTCTCATACATTTGACCGAAATCATTTATTGTGATTTTTTAACATTTACCTTGCAGTCTGGTACATCGCTGTTTTTTTCGTTAGCGTCTTCTTCACAGAAGCTGACCGGGGCCAAACCAGGAAGATAGAAACTCAACGCGTCCCGCAGCGACCCGCACACAAAAAGCACCAATAAGACAACACGGACACGGTGGAACACGACCATTTTGCTTTGACCGACCAAGTTAAGTATTCGGTAGATATATTTACATGCGTAAAATGTAGATATGTGTGTCAAAATCCAGACATTGGTGATTACTAAGCACAAGAGCTAGCGAAACTGCTGTCTGCGTAGCAGCATCTGACTCCGACACGTCATCAGTTACGAACTGCATGATGGGATAACGGAGGACTCCAATGCGGAAGAGAATGAGAATGAAGAAGCCACAAGCCATCCCATAAAAATCCTAAAAATCATGTCAGAAAATGACATGCTCTGTAAATTAGATATTGGAATATTTCATGTAGAACTTACTTTTAATATCACCAATAATACAAGCCAATATTTTAATACACCCATTTGTTAATATTTACTACCAATATAATGTATGGGATATAAAATATTCTATGTCTGTAATAATATTTTATAGTCTTATAACAGATAGTACTTTAAAGCAAGGTTGATAAAAGCATCACAAAACCACATTTTCTTGAATCATCTTTTAATAAAACAAGGAACCACTGAGAACAAGAGTGCTGAAACAGACTGATCACAAATTTTTTTCAAAACAAAGCAGACAAAGGGGAACAAAAGTTAGATGCACATAACAAATACGGTTATTTTATTGAACATCTTCAGTACCCATTGTATATCTCACAAACATTCAGCAACTGTTGTTCACACATCTGACATTACAAAAAACGTCTCTAAAACAATTGTAAATGACAAAGTTCCTTATGCAGTACATAGTTTTCACTTCTGATTCAAAGTTCAAGGGTCATGAAACCGACAGCATATCCACAGGCTAGTATTTCCAGTCTCTATGGTTCTGTGGTTCTTCTGAGGTTTAGGGCAGCAATCCTCCATCAGAACTGATTTAAAAGCAGTTTCAGTGTGTTACAATAATCGTTGACAGTATGGGTTAACAGCGATCTGAGATCAGTTCTTTCAGACTGTACTCACTGAGCGTGCTCAGGAGACGCACAGCTCTGCTGGTGTGCTGAGCTGTTGGGCTGCCGAGGCGGGATCAGGCTTCTCCTGTCCACTCGACTGGCTGGAAGCCATTTTCTTTTTGAAGAGACGCAAACTCAGTTGCACAAGTTCATTGTCCACCACTGGAGCGCTGGTGTAGATCTGCTTGGTTGTGCCCTACATGAGGAATACAGAAGCATTAAACCAAACACTGAATCATGTACACCTTTATTAAGGTAATGATTAGCAACACTTCACTGATACATTCCACACAAATAGCACCCCTCACAATATGAGATTTATATAAGGTTTTTTGTTGTTGTTGATGAAAAAAATGAATACCTTTATTCAGTGTTTATAAAATTGATCAAAAGTGACAGTCAAGACTGTCAAATAAATGCTTTTGAACTTCCTATTTATTAAAAATAATCCTGAAAAAAATATTAAGCACAGTGATGTTTCTTGAGAATCAAATCAGCATATCAGAATGATTTCTGAATGATCATGTGACACTGAACACTGGAGTAATGATGCTAAAAAAATTCAGCTTTACCATCACAGGAATAAATTACAATGGAAAACATATTAAAATGGAAAACAGTTATATTAAATTGTAATAATATTTCACAATATTACTGTTTTTACTGTATTTTTAAGGAAATAAATGCAGCTTTAATGAGAATAAGTGACTTCTTTCAAAAACATCCTACCGACCCCAAACTTTTAAACTAGTGCATATACGTTATTTTGTGTTACACAGTCTTTTTATCTCATCACGTTAAATTTAGCTTGGGTAAAACGGAATTTGTCTGAGAATTCTTTGCAGCTATTATGCCCCTTTTTACAAGATGTAAAATAAGTCTCTGATGTCCCCAGAGTGTGTGGGGTATTTTGAGCTGAAACTTCACATACAGATAATTTTTTATAGCATGTTAAAATTGCCATTTTTTGAGGATGAGCAAAAACACGCCGTTTTTGTTTGTGTCCCTTTAAATGCAAATGAGCTGCTCCCAGCCAACATTTCAAGAAGAGGGCGGAGCTTCAAGAGCTCATGCAACAAACAAACAGGATAATCTCAGATAATCTCATGCACTGAAATGTCAGCACTGTTCAGTTCGAACCGGAGTCGGACAATAATGCCTACAGAGCCAGCTAATGTGTATGGAGATAGAACAGGCATAGTTTTATAGTTTAGTTTAATTACGGTTTTAACTTATGCTGTCATCTTGCTTTTATCTACTACAAGCCTGCTGTAGCGGACAGCGTCCGAATGATGGCCAAAACTTTACTGATGAGTTTTATGAAGTTTATTGTACATCACACAAAAGACAGTCCTTCCAGAAAAACGCGGAGTTTTTTTGTGATTGTTGCGGGCAAAAATCCTTGATTACGCGGCCCGTTTTCTTTAAAAATGCGATGGAATATGCGGGATATTTATGCAATTTTTTGCGATGAAATTGCGGGAACTTGCAAAAACTGCGGGAACTTGCATAAGCTGCGGGAACTTGCAAAAACTGCGGGAACTTGCAAAGACTGCGGGAACTTGCAAAAGCTGCGGGAACTTGCAAAAGCTGCGGGAACTTGCAAAAGCTGCGGGAACTTGCAAAAGCTGCGGGAACTTGCAAAAGCTGCGGGAACTTGCAAAAACTGCGGGAACTTGCAAAAACTGCGGGAACTTGCAAAAACTGCGGGAACTTGCAAAAGCTGCGGGAACTTGCAAAAGCTGCGGGAACTTGCAAAAACTGCGGGAACTTGCAAAAACTGCGGGAACTTGCAAAAACTGCGGGAACTTGCAAAAACTGCGGGAACTTGCAAAAACTGCGGGAACTTGCAAAAACTGCGGTTTGATGAAAAAGAGAAAAAAAAGTGATTCCCACAACACCCTGTTCTCACTAGGCTACTACCTTAATGTAAAAAGTCATTTCTTATTACTTCCTATGATAAGCAAGCATACTACATCACAGAAAGTGCTGGAAATATTTAATTTCTCATCTTGTTTTATTTCAGACTGTAACGAGTGGAAATAAGGTGTGGCCCCTTTAAGAGCTGCGCGCTGTCTGCAGTATTATATTGTATGTGCGCCTCGAACACCCCATGTGTGCGGGTAATTTCTGTTTGATGCTACTTATTTTATCTTATTTTGTTTATTAGGGCCCTTACATAGTCAACGCATCGGTACGCATACGCGTGCGCAAGGCTACACATCGCTACGCTTCGGCCGCCATTATGCGTCGATGCGTAGCCAAATGTGTCATCCTAGTTTTTGATACGCGACGCGCCGATGCACGCAATACTATGCGTTGTCGGTGGGGGCGACATTGCAAGTAATGTACATAAAAAGGTATATTATTATGTTTACAGAAGAAGAAGATTCGAATACAATGGCGGGCGAAGAGGAAAAGTTATGCGAGCTTGTTCGTATACATCCTTTGTTGCCGCTGATGTAAAATCAGCAATATGCACTCCTCTTCAGTTGCCATTTTGATCTGAATATTACGTGACCCGACTCTAGACTCTACTACCCCCTGCTGCGCGATCGGTGTATTGCATTTCACGCATCGCCGGTGACGCTTGTGTACTATGAAAAGGAGCGCGTAGCTCGCGTCGCTCGCGTTGACTATGTAACGGCCCTTAAGTAACGATGTGGACGGTAGAACGCGTGACAGACAGTTATACGAGTTCGATTTGGGAATAAAGTGTGAGTTGTGAGAAGATGCCAATCGCCTCCGTGAGTCTGGCCTCTGCAATAACTTCAGCTGTGAGCTATCCCTATTTTTCTTCCCGACAACGCGTTACAAGACCTTAATAAACACATCAAACTTACAAAACATTGATGAGTCAAACAAGTTCTGTAGCTTTACTAGAGGAATATGCTACAACTTCAGTAAAAATGAATAAATTAAATATTTAAAAATAAAGTGTGCTCCTGTTTTACAGCTTTTCAATGATGTTCACGTCGCGTAATTACGTCACTTCATAACGTTCCCATGGCACCAGGGGGAAACGGCTGCTCTTGTGTGAAGCAAACGCAACATTTTCCAACTTTCTGCTAAGATATATGTGACTTTTTTGCGACGAAAATGCGGGGATTATGAAATCATGCAAGCCCCGCATATTTTGTGCGGAAATCAGCAATTTATGCGGCGAAATTGCGGAGTATTTGAAAAAATGCGACCCCCGCATAAATATGCGGACTTTGGCTGATTATGCATTGAATTCAGTGATCGCATAATCGCGTTTTTCTGGAGGGACTGAAAAGATGAAGTGACCGCTTTCACTCCAGAAAATCACCGTACGAGCGGAGTAAAACAGTATAAGAAGTGCGCATTAAAGTCTTAACCATAAACTCCCTCTCTCTTGCATTATCATCAACATACACAGTGAATTACACAAAACCACTCGTTACAACTAACCGTAAACAAATATATACAGAGTGTATGCCTTTTCGCGGGGTGTTTAATAAACTGGCAAACTTTATATCTGTAAAACAACTCCGATGAACAGTAAATAAAGTGTGTGCGTGCTGTCCCTTTTATTACTGCCGTGATGCTCTGTCAGGAGTAAATGACGACTGCTATGTTCACTCTTACATCCAACAACAAAACATCTCAATCGCTTAGAAGACATTCTCGTCTACAGCTGCTCCGGCGTCGAAACAATGGCGGACTGTATCAGCTCACTCAGGGTGGGTCTACGCTAAAACTGCAGTGTCAGTCAACAGTCGTGGGAGGGGCTTGTGCAAAAGTACGTCACATTGCCCAGAATCTGCGAACATCTTGTTCAGAGACAGTGCTTATGATTTATGGGGATTAAAAAAAAAGCCCATGGTGGATTTTGATCATTATAGGGTGGTTGTGTGCACACACTGCCAACACATATTTATGCTCAAACACCATGTAAAAGTGAATTTTTGCATAATAGGTGCCCTTTAAAAGTGGTGTAGGAAACACCGGATGGAAGTTTTTATATATACTCTTCAGTATTTAAATGAAAAATATATTTAATAAAATACTCATAATTGTAATTTCTCTCAATTCTTTCTTTGATACCTTGAAAATCTTGACTAGGTAGATAGTTCCAGAATAGAGCTCACTTTCTCAATACAGTTTCAGAAAGCCCAAGTTTTACAAAAGAGGGGCCCCCAATTAAAGACCATAAGAGCACCTTGTCATTTTTCAGGAGCTGTCTACGTATGGCAATGTCTCGGCGAGCACACAGCGCCTTGCAGCAAGGGCCCAGACTCCTCAGTAGGTTGGCCCTCTCCGTTCGTCTGTTGTATGCAGCCATGTTCAGAGCACCCAGATCATGCTCTAAGAGTTTATCAGCATCTATGGATTCATATTTTGAGATTCAAGTCACTTGTTATATACTCAAATTTATATAACTACAATTGATTACCACATCAATTATTTTCAATACATCTGCTATCAGTAGAGCTTCATTTATATTAAAACTGGAGCATTCATTGAAATGTAGATTTGCACATTCACCTTTAGGGTCTTCCAACTCTCTGGAGCACACTTCTTTAACTCTGGCAAGGAGCTGAGGCCCAGCTAAGCGTCTGGACACTCCTGCTCTGAGGAGCACAGCCCCTGGGGTAAACCGCAGCAGCGCTGCCCCGGGAGTTCTGGGCTCCTGTTTTTGCTTGGGCATCAAACTGGACCAATCTACATCAATCACATCCAGAGGCCCTGAAACAGAATATGCAAATGGTATATTATAAACCGTTCGAATGTGGGATCGATGATTTTTGAGATGGTCATTACATAGTTTCTGCTTATGGCTTTGTCAGTGTGTGTATTAGTCTGTGAAATAGGAATCTGTGTATGCTTCTAAAAATGTTGTTTTTCTTAATTTATTTAATCAACTGTTCAAACTGAAAAAGTTACGTGTGGCCAGATGTGATGTTTTGTTTTTTTGCTAGAATGTCCACATTAGTTGTTATAGTCACAATGCAAACTTGCATGTTTTGCATTCAATCATATTTTTCACTATGGTAGGTGTTTCTCAACTGGTGGGTCACAAGACCGTTCTGAGTGGGTCGAGGAGTGTGCAGTCAAAGGAAGATATTTTGAAGAATGTCGGTAACATAACAGTTGATGGACCCCATTGACTTCCATAGTATTTTTTTCCCAATATGGAAGTCAATGGGGTCCATCAACTGTCTGGTTACTGACATTCTTCAAAATATCTTCCTTTGTGTTCAGCAGAAGAAATAAATTCATACAGGTTTGAAACAATTTGAGGGTGAGTAAACGATGGCAGAATTTTCATTTTGAAGTGAACTATTCCTTTAAGTAGTGTTGCGTACCAGAAATCTTTTCTTCATCTTGTTGGTCATCCCTCTTCTGACTGTCTGCCAGAATCTCATCCAGTTCATCATCACTGATTGGCTCATATTCCTCACCACCTGACACAACAGACTGCACCTCTTCCCCTTTTCCATCCTCTTCTTCTGAATGAACAAACACACATACATTAGGTAAAATTGAACAATATTCTTATACATCCGACTATAGTTTGAGAAATAGTGGTGGGGGAGACTAACCATCAAGACTATCCATTTTCTCTAATTCAGATGTTTCCCCTTGCAGATGTGAATTGTCGGCTGGTTTATCTACATCCATGAGGGCTTCTCTGGGTAACAGAGGTTCATACTCTCCTCTCTCCATTTTAATTTCACCTCTGCTCTTTGGTTCCCGGTGAGCTTGAAGGTCAAACGGAAGCATCCTTTCCCGTTCACGGTCCCTTTCACCACGCTCACGATCCATTCGCTCATGTGGCAGCAGTCCTTCAGGTAACAGTCGTTCCCTATCACGCATCTCCCGCAAGTCTCTCTCTCTCATTGGATCCCGGTTGCCACGGAGGAGGGGCTCTCTGCCCCGCCCACCCCACTCACGAGGTTCAGGTTCCCAATCTCTCTGTTGGGTTTGTTGATTTTGCAGCTGGCGGTGATCCTTTTTCTCACGCTCTCGATCCAACTGTTCACGATCTCGTTCCCGTTCTCGGTCACGTTCACGGCTGTCGTAGGAGCCGGCTCTGGAGCGAGCCTGACGCTCAGACTCTGGTGAACTACGACGAGAACTGTGACTCCGAGAGTCCTGCCGGTCTGTGGAAGCAGATAAAAGTTTACATGTTATAGAGAATTCAAAACCTCAACATTACAAAATTTACAATAACAACTGTTTAGGTATTCTTTCACACATCATTTTTTGTTAGTTTTAAATCTTGCCATTTTTATTAATGCATATTGTGTACAGGTACATTCTACACAAAAGAAGCACGTTCAATCGGTTCCTGTAGTAACTTACAACAAGACCTGCTTGTGATAGCGAGTGAAAATATCCTGCATCTAATGCCAAATCACTAAATACTGAGAATGAAATGAGGCTGATTTTCCTCAAGTAGTATATTTTTCTACATGTTTTGATCGCTTGTCAATCTTCCCACACAGGCACTCTGAGACACTAGTTTCCTTAATTTTTGGTTAAACTAAATGTGAGATTCCAAACAATTCCCACCCCAAAATATATTTTTCAACAAAAATACTAAGAAACTCAAAAATCTTCTGAGGAGTCTCACCTGAGGAAGTACTCCGACTGGGTTCTCCTCTCCGAAGCTGATCAATCCTCGACTTCCTCTCTCCTCCCATCTGTTCACTGACCGCTGCTCTCTCCCTCTCTCGTTCCCTCTCCCTCTCCCGTTCTCTGTCTCTCTCCCGGGAATTGCCACCTTGGAGAAGTCCTCTGCGGGGCCTAAGCCCCTGAGGGCCTTCATCCCGGTGAGCCGACTCATTGGAGGGCGAGCGTAGTCTTCGCGAAGACGCACGGCTTTGGTTGCTGCCCATGCTACTGCTACGCTGCTGCTGCATGTCTGCTTGCTGCGGTTTACGCAGCATGTGTTGTGGCAGTAACGGTTGTAAAGGAAGAGACTGTATCAGCATCGGAGGGTCAGGGAGCAGCGGGGCGATTGGGGGGTCCGTACGGTCCCGGACCCCGCCACGTGCACCCCTTCTGGGGAGACGCTCTGAGGGAAGCAGCCTCTCCGGAGGCCTATCGGATGGCAGGGAGGCAGAGGAGCTCTCACCTCGCTCTGGTACGTCTTCATCAGACCAGTCACTGAAGTTGGCTTCCAGTTTAGCTGGAAAAGAACTCTGTCCAGCCATTAAAGCCCTCTGGGAAGGAAGGTCATCCTTGTTGATTGGCGGGGGTGTACGTGGGCCTCGTCGTCTCTTGCTGATGGGGGGTTGGGCTACCAGCTCGTCCTCAGAAACATCCGACTCGGGACCCCGTGACCGCTTGCGTTTCCTTTCTAAGGCTTTCTTCTTGGTTATCTTGCGAGGTGAGAGGAGAGCCTGGGGGGCTTCGGCCACAGTGGAGGAGGGCGGGGGCTCAGGGTTACTACGGTCTCCTTCTCCAGATGCCCCTTCCTCCTCTTTACGGTTCTTCTTCAGATTTTTCTTCTGAGATTTAGTCTTTTTCTTGCCCTCCTCATGAACTACTGGTAAAGGGTCTCTCTCCTCCACGGGAGGAGGAGTGAGGGCGGCAGAAGGGAGGTCCCTCTGCTCTTTTACCCTCCTGGAGTCAGAGATGACCGTAGCAGAAACGTCTGAAGCTTGTTCTCCACGTCGCTCTGCTCCTCTTCCTGCTCCTCTCTCACCACGGGAATCTACCTCCTCATGTCGGGCACGGCCTTCTTTTTTATCGCCACGCCGCTCTTCATCCTTCCAGCGATTGGGTTTTTCATCAGTAAAGGAGCGGACAGGTGAGCGAGCGGTCTCCTGAGGACGAACCACTTGACTCAGCAGTCGGTGCTTTTCGCCTGAAACAAAACCATACATTTAATGTGCAAATATTCTACATATGTGCACAATACACCTATGAGCCATGTTATGCCAAGTGCATGTTTTCACTAAGGGGCTCAGTTGAAGTCTTACCTTTCTCCTCAGTGCTGTTGTAACCGTCACTGTCTGCAGGGCTAACCTCTCGCCCTCTTTTAGGAGATGGCCGTGGACTGGGAGTGTTCTCAGCACGATGTCTCTTACGGCTGCAAGCAAACAGAAGGGCAAACAGTATTTAAAAAAACTGAGAAAGTCTATTTTTTGTGCACTACTGTAAAAAAAATTATGTTTTTGAAAGGTGTGAAATGCTTATGCCAAGTAAGGCTGCATTTATTTGATCAGAAATACAGAAAAGTAAGAGAAATAATATTGTAAAATATTCCAATTTAAAATAACTTTTTTTATTTTAATATATTTCAAAAGGTAATTTATTCCTGTGATGGCAAAGCTGAATTTTCAGCATCATTACTTTGGTCTCATGGTCTATCAGAAATCTTTCTAATTCTCTGATTTGGTGCTCAGCAAATATTTAATATTATTATCAATGTTGAAAACAGTTGTGCTGATTAGCCTAATATTTTTTGTTGAAACCATGATACACTAAACCATGACTTAGGATTGCAGGAAAGTAAAACATAATATTTGAAACAATTCAATGCATCTTTTTTTAATTAAAGTATTCATTTCTTCACAAACTGAGTGTTACTTAGTATTTATTACTGACCCCAAAGTTTTGAGCAGTTGTGCAAGTGTACAGTCATTTTGTCAGTATCACAAAACATACTGCTTTATTAGAGAACTTCCGAGCGTCTAGGTGTATAAGAGTAAATTATGTCTGTGTTAACCATAATATTAAATTAATACTGACAGACTTGCAAGATAACTTTGTCTATTTCTATAGCCAAACATTAAGTTGCAAGATGGTGCAAATTAGCTTCGGACTTAAAATATGATTAAATAGGAATGCATGATATATTGATAAAATATACTGGTTATCGGCTGTTCTTAGAGATAATTTAATTTACTGGTATCAGTTGATATTGGATACATATCTCTGATACTGGATATTTTAAATTGATATTTTCCTGTATTTTTACATTTAAATGGCTTTTGGAATCAATTAAAGGTTGATTGTAATATGTTGTAATATTTGGCAAATATCAAAATGAACATCCATTTTTCACAATGATGTGATGTCAATTCAGTTGTAGAACTTTATTTTTTAATTTATGTGAATGAATGAATGAGGCATTTATATAGCGCTTTCATATGTACTACTGTACACCCAAAGCGCTTTACAATCATATCAGGGGTTCTCTCCTCAACCAGCACCAGTGTGCAGCATCCACTTGGATGATGCGACGGCAGCCACACTACAACGGCGCCAGTGCGCTCACCATACACCAGCTATAGGTGGAGAGGAGAGAGTGATAGAGCCAATTCAGTGGATGAGGATTATTAGGAGGCCATGATTGGCAGGGGCCAATGGGTGGAATGTGGCCAGGACACCGGGGTTACACCCCTACTCTTTACGAGAAGTGCCATGGGATTTTTAATGACCACAGAGAGTCAGGGCCTCGGTTTAACGTCTCATCCAAAGGACGGTGCTCTTTGACAGTATAGTGTCCCCGTCACTATACTGGGGCGTTAGGACCCACACAGACCACAGGGTGAGCACCCCCTGCTGGCCTCACTAACACCTCTTCCAGCAGCAACCTGGTTTTCTCAGAAGGTCTCCCATCCAGGTACTAACCAGGCTCAGCCCTGCTTAGCTTCAGTGGGCAACCAGTCTTGGGCTACAGGGTGATATGGCTGCTGGCTATGTAGATAAAGACACATTTAAATTTTATATGGCCAATTACATGAATAAATATTAATATTGAATAAATATTAATTACAAGAATAAATATTGGCTAATCTTCATCAGAAAGAAAATGGTGTTACCTTAGTATGATAAGAAAGACGCTGTAAAATGATTTTAAAAAGTACCACCAGTATGTAGTTATGAACAACAAAGTTTTAAACATTCTAGAAGCCATGCAGTAATATTTACTCACTACAAGTATTCCAGAGAGTTTGTACTTAAAATGTGACCAATAACACTACAGCACTTACATGTTCTTTCTCTCTTCATGAGCATCTCGGGTAGAGCGGTCGTCTCGTGGCTCATCTCTTCTGTCCCGCCTTTCTTCCCTCCCTTTCTCTCTCTCCTCCCACTCCCTCTGCCTTTCCCTCTCTCTTAGCTCCCTCTCCCGTTCCCTCTCCTTTCTTTCTCGTTCCCTTTCTCTCTCTCGCTCCTCTCGCTCTCTTTCCCGCTCCTCCCTCTCTCTTTCCCGCTCCCTTTCTCTCTCCTCCCTCTCCCTCTCTCGTTCCCTTTCCTTCTCTCTCTCCCGCTCCCTTTCCCTGACTTGCTCACGTTCCCTTTCAGCCTCTCTTTCCCGCTCTTTCTCCCTCTCTCTCTCCTTCTCTCTTTCCCGTTCCCTCTCTCTTTCCCTGTCCTTCTCTCTGTCACGGGTGCGGTCGTCTCGTCTATCATCCCCTCGATCGTTCCTTCGATCATCTCTCCTTTCTTCACGCTCAAGGTCCTCGCCGCGGCTCTGCTGGCGGCCAGGAGAGGGCGCTCTTTGTTCTGTTGAACAAAGACAAATTTCCATCAACACCACAAAAAGTTGCTCTCCATGCCCTCTGGTGTTAAAGGAATAGTTCACAAACTTATGCACTTAATTCAAAGTTTTCAGACGTGAAATTTAAATTTCGCCCCGTTCCTTACACTGAACTATCGTATGACTTCAGAAAACTTGAACTATCGCAAACAAGTCACACTGAATACTTTATGGTGCTTTTTTGCACTTGACAGACAAACTTACACAATTTACACAGAAGAAATTTGCTGTTGCTGTGCTGAGAAGCCTTGTTGCCATTCTGTCCATCAAGGTTTAAAGCTTACTGAAGTATCAGACACATACCACTCACTATTTTGTGGCAAATTCCTTTATCTGTAGTAAAAAAGTTTTTGTTATGGCACATGCAATTTGAATACTAGGTATCCAGAGTGACTAGTTAATGGAGAACAGCTCTTCCCTTTCCTGAAGTAAGCCAGTAATCTAGATTTTTTTTTTTTTTTTTTTTTTTAAACATTGACCTTCATTTATTTATTTATAACTTCTGTGATATTTTTTCCATTAAATAAAAAGACTATGAATAAAGCGTTTGGACAGTTTTAAAATTTTCGAGAATATCCAGACTGGACCAAGCCTATGGACTTATCTATTTGCCAATTTAAAACACAGTATTGCATTAAACAATCAGTTGTCAAAATAAACCCGAGTCAAACTTTAAAACACTGCATAGTAGGGGTGTAACGATTCACTCGTTTTCACGAGGCATCGATTACAAATCCTGACGATGCATATGCATTATGCATCGATCTTGAAACATGTATTTTTGAATAGTGAATCATTGATTTCGGTCAATAATCGATTTAAAATGCTAAGAATCAGATTAATCAAATCGATAGCGATTCAGTGCTTTCAAATATACAAACATTCAACTACTACATGCGCAAAGTAATGGAGACATTGTGCGCCGTCTTTCGCGCCCTCACAACTCTCTTTCACAGACGGGTACCGCCTTTCACTGGATTGCGCTCGCGCTCCGTCAGTAGCTCTCCTTGACACAATTTTGAGCAGCCCACATTTGAGCTCTCCTCAGGACAGCCACTGCTATTCACATGAGCAGATGAAAGCTCTCTATCGAGACAGCAACAGTCCTGAGTCAAATCGCTTAAGCCATTGATAAAGCTGAAAATGGGTCGTACCTTTGACATTTACCTGAGCGAAGTAAAACCCAGCTTATTCAAGGGCGTGCATTTATAGCATGGACGGAGAAAACACACAATGTAAGTGTCTAAAATGCATATGCACAGTTCCGATGAATGATAAATTAAATTTAACTTAATTTCGTTAAAATGAATGTATGTAGGAAACTGCTGAAATAACTACAACATTACCAATACTGAAATAAGAGCACGTGTTTATCTATCAATCAAATGTGCATTAAAGTTGCGTTCGTTACAATAGCAACAGTAGACACCTGGCACGTTTTCTTTCAGAATCATCATAAGGAAAATGTTCCGTTTAAAGAGAACGTTTGTTTAGGATTAGTTGGTCTCTCCATGGAAGCATTGTACGTTTAATGTACCTGGTTGTGTAGCCATTAACACTATTCTACACAATAGTCAACATGAACAATACTTTAAGCCTTTTTAAAGCCTTTTAAAATGTAAATTTCTACAAATGCCAATTTTTATAGGCTATTAAAATAGTTATGTAGCATTATTAAGAACTAACTCTGACCCCCCCAATAATCCTATGAATGCATATAAAAAAAAGCAGAATCGAATCGCATCGAATTTCTATGTAAATCATCTCGAATCGAATAACCTATGAATCGTGAATCAAATCAATTTGCCGTCAACCCAAAGATTCACAGCCCAACTGCATAGTCTTTACTGTATGAATTAAAATATACATTGATTCTTATTATAACTACTAAAGTTATTCAGTTAAGAGTGATTTTGTCTGTCTTTTGTTTAACATTAATGTCACAGACAGCAGCAGATATTTGCATTAGGCTTTAAGACCGAATGTATGGATCTAATATGACATGCATCCAATTTCTTTTCCAAATGTTTATTCACTTAAGACATAACTGATGTATTTACGTAAATACTCACGAATATGGACATTGACATATTTTTGTGTATATTTGACCGTTTAGGCGTGTGCCTGAAACCCCAAGTATAACTTTGCTCATCCGTGTTTTGCTCCATCTCACAGCGCGCACACAGAAAGTGCGAAAGAAACTGATCCCTGCGCGGTTAATGCACTTTTATTAACTCTTTTTAAAATAAAGCATGTCCCGCAATAGACTGCATTTTACGACAGTCGCGTTACATGATTTGACTGATTTGGATTAAGCTTTTATGGTATTCAAAAACAGTGTCTCTTTCAATTAGTAGTACAACTTCAATTTCTACTATAAAGAGGCTCTCCAGTGTGTTCATGTTTTTAATCGTGGATATCTGACCTTGAGGGACTGAACAGAAGAAATGAACCGTAGAAGATTTCCACGTCAATGAAGGCGAAGCCTCAGAGCACATCCACCTATTACATAAACGCCACGAACCAATGGTATTTCGAAGGCATTTACAGCTAGACAGTTTCAAACTGCTGAAACGAACACAAAACTAACTTTGCCTGATTTTGTTTAAATTGACATTGCACCAGTTTGTTTCTAGTTTTTCGCTTGAAGTATATCAGGGCCTTTACGCTTTCTCCAATAGCAGGGCCACAGAAGTTGGCATCTGCCAATAATAAGAACATGTCTTGCTTATCAGTCACCTCTTTCTCTGTTGTCACGGCGATCTCTCTCTGCATGTCCTCCCCGCCGTTCATCTCTGGGCTGTTCTCCTCTCGGTCTGTCGTTGTCATAGCGATCACGATCAGTGTTCCTCTCTGAGCTCCTCTCTCTCAAACCACTGCTGCGGGACTCCCAGCTGTCATGCCCACTAGCACTGCTAGCGTCAGTCTGTGATGCTCTACCACCACGAGATGTACCTGAAACATAAAATTCATCACATCCTCTGCCTGAGTATTTAAAATGTATTTTATTATTTAATTTTTATATAAAGTTCTCATATTATTCCATTACTCCTTAAAAAGTAGCTAATAATTGTTACATTTTATGAAAAGTACATGTTGCATTGCTTTCAATTAGCATTTTTCAAGCTGAAGCGCCCCTCCAGCTTGCAAGTGCATCTTTTTAAACTTTAAAGTGCTTTAAACAAAACTTTAAACTTTAAACAAATTAAATAAAAAGTGTTTTAAGTTGTTCAGGAAGATGTATTAACAATGGTATTCAGATAAGAAATAACCTACAACAAAACATTTAATAATCAAATGTAAAAATAAAAAGTCTTACTGTACACATTCAATATAGATCAGTCCTTATTAAAGCTATTCAGTCAAGATCAATGCAGGGTTCCAGACTGCGACCATTTTTTGAGAATGTGCGAGTTACAATTTTATGTGGTCGCATTTGTGCGAGTGCATGGTCGCGCAACAGAACGCCGTTGTATCAGCAGTAGGGGTGGGGGAAAAAATCGATTCTTAGATGCATCGCGATGCGGACGTGGACGATTCTGAATCGATTCACAATTGTCAAAAATCGATTTTCAAAAAAAAAAAAATTGTTTTTAGATATATATTTATAATAACGTAATATTGACGGAACGCGAAAGACGGAACTCTGAAGCGCGGAAGTGCAGTGGCCGGACCGTCTGTGGCGTGCACATAACAGACGCGGACGCGATGGCTGAGCGCCAAATCCAAACACCCTCCTCGTTAAAAGCTGACGTGTGGAAATATTTTGGCTTCTGAAGTTGAAGGGGGAAAGGAGCTGGACAAGAGCCACACTAGTTGTAAGCTTTGTAGAGTAAAACTAAAATATTTCGGAAACAAGACACATGAAGCCAAATGACACGTTTCCAGCCAGAGGAGGAAAAACACTCGGCTGTAACGTTACCGGTCGTTGTTATATTATTAATTTACTACAAATATGCTGCTGCTAGTTCAGACACACATGTATTTTCCTGTTGGTTCTTTGCAATGTTAATAAAATATATTGTACGTTAATTCTTTATGGGTCATTACTTTGTACTTTTAAAGCAAAGTATTTATAGTCACACACACACACAAAAAAAAGATTCTGATAATCGATTTAGCATCGAATCGCAGCCCTCTGAATCGTAATCGAATCGAATCGTGAGGTGCCTAGAGATTCCCACCCCTAATCAGCAGCTGCTGCAATCAGTATGTTCAAAATTAACGAGTACATCATGAATCCATTTTCCAAACCGTGTTTTCGACTTATCCTGAATCACTACGGTACGCCTATAATAAGTGTTTATATTCTGACTATTTTATTGCCTGCGTGACTCGCCATAGACATTAACAGAGAGAAGTAGCTCCGGTTACAATGTTCTTCCGCAAGACACTTGCAGTTTATTTATTGCACGTCACGCGCATTGCACACTGATGGTGAAACGCGCCAATTAGAAATTAAGTCATAATAAGTGTAAGTTAAATGTACAGTGTACGACATGTAAAAAAGACAAGAGGCTAACAATTTCAAGATCAATATTTGTGTTGCCTGACACGGTATTTTCATACTGCATCCGTTCCAGGAGCGGCGCGTAGCAGTGCAGAGATCGTTTACACACCGAGTCTATTTTTGCTGTGCTGCACGCGCTGAATTAAAGTGACAGCGCATAGTTCGTGGTCAAAATGAGCACAAATTGACATGACAATGAATTTCATCATAAATACATTTAATTAAATAAAATGTAGTAATCTCACCATAAATGCATTTAATTAAATACTACTATTTTTCACAGTCATCTTTTTACTTTTAACTTTTTAATAGGTTTTTTTTTGAGAATATTTTGATTTGATAGTTAAAAGATGAAAACATTTTGCTAACATGAGGTCTTCTGTTAATGTCAGTCTTTTTACATCAGTGCAAAATTATGGTATGCAGATTAAGACCACTATTCATCAGCATGCATTGCGACCAAATCATATGCTGGTGCGACCAACTGAGAAAGTTAGTAGCACCAGTGCAACCAGTGGAAAAGTTAGTCTGGAGCCCTGCAGTGAGTGATTTTCCTTTGGCATTTGTTGTTTGATTATCATTAATGACCGACTGCCGGTTTATTAGGCTGCTGTCACTTTAAGAGCTAATGCACGAGTCCAATATACTCTTAAGCCCGTTTTATGCTTCTGCGTCGAATCGACGGCGTACCCCCGCAGACCCCTCTGCGTCACCGCGAACCCCTCTCCGACCCCTCCGCCGTAGCTCGACGTGCACCTCCAAAAAATTGTAACTACGCGTCGAGGCGACGCAGTGCGCAAGGGCTGTGATTGATCAGATTATACATCATTTCCGGAGTGTAGCTTTTCCGGTTTCCCTCTCCCGCTATACCGCCATTTTTAAAGTGACCACTGCACTGTTTGTTTCAACGATGGATCAAGTTGAGGAACGGTTGATTCTTCTGCGATTAAACATTTGCAATAAAATCATTTGTTGTTCAACGTCGATTAGCTCCAGCTGCAACAACAGTAGGCGCGTTTCCATTACAGATTTGCGCAAAACTTTCTAAATGTCGATAAAAAACTATTGCGAAATGACGGCGTTTCCATTAACCAATGTTATGCGACTAAAACGTCTTTTTTTCCTCTCGTGATAAGTCATTCCAAAAATCATGGCAACGGACGTTGGTAGGTTTATAGCCTATATCACAGCCACCGCACTAGACATTATTATTATTATTATTATTAATGGAAGGAGATGTGGTGTGTTATCCAAGCATTAATGGCAGGGAAAGACACAGAGTTCCTGGGTGTTCCCTCATTTCTGCTCCAAGGTCTTGATTGTGGCATTTCTTTGAGGTTTACAGTCCAGTAGGCTATTCCTGTAATTATTGTTTCTTTTATGAATTTAATAAAGAACTCTGTCTCGTATTATGTCCAAACTATGTATGTCAGTGTACTTTTGTGTCCATTCGGTTTCCCTTATTTAACCCGTAATTGCAAAACGAAAAATGAACGGTCGTTGTATTTTTAAAACGCAAAGTTGAACACCAAAATGTTAATTTGAACTGTACACCAAATCCTGCGAAAAAAAAAAAAAATATCGACGAATTTTCAGAAATTTGTTTATGACTTTTAACGAGGCATTTTAATTGTTTATGAATAAACTATTGTTTTCTAAATCAGTGTCGGCTAAAAACATATCTCCATCTCCGGATGCACCTTTAGAGAGAAATGCACCTTTCATACGGATTACATAATCAGAAGGTATTAGTTTCGATTCGAATTTAAAGTGGACATTTTAAGCTTTAGCCTACATAGGCTATATTTTGTTTCAGTTCTCACGCTTCAGTTCATGGAGACCACGAAAGCGCGCCTGATTGTTTTATTTTACAAAAGCACAACGTTTTCTTGTTATTGTGAGTTTACGCAAATAAAAGTAGTTGCGAATAATGTATTATTATTTTCTGTATGACCAGAAATGATAGAGTATTTTAAGTTGTTTCCACTGTTGATAGGAAAATGCAAGTGTTCGCGCCCGCGCCTCCCTGCCATCCAGTGCGCGCTCCACACTCCGCACAAACACTTGGATATGTGTCAAAATCTTGTGTTTATTTGTGATAATCTTAGCCCTGTATTATTATTGTCCAACCTGTATTATGAATGAGATGTGACAAATTGCTTTGTTCCTTTTTTGGATAAAACCTAATAAATTAACTACCTAATAAATGTTATAATAATGATGATAATTATTATTATTATTTTCGGACACGGGCCCCAAACACACCGCATCTTCTAAGTCAGGTGACTGTAATTGCGCAAAACCTGTTTCCATTGTAGTTTTGCGAAATATTCCTTTTTCGAATTGCCTGAAAAACCTCCTCATGCGAGCGTAAAAACTTTTTTGTGATAAACGGGAGTTTTTGCGAAATGGACTTGTTTCCATTGTGCGTATTTTCAATTTGCGCAATTTGAAGGATAATGGAAACGCGGCTGTCGGAAATGAAAAAAACTGAACCGGCACGGAACCAAAACAAACTAGCAAAGAGATTTGCGAACCATTCGTGAACGATTACCGATTAATCAACCGATGTTTTTAAAATGGCTACTGGATAAAAATAAAAAACATAACACTCCAAGTAAAACAGTGCTGAACTGAAATGTGCTAAATTAAATAAATATGTAAATATGAATTAAAATGAGAAGTTCTACAGAATGAATTCTACGGAAAATAATTTAAACGTTAAAATATTACAGGTTTCTTTAGCTATAACCTAGAAACCTAGGTAAATTTCATAGGTAACACTTTGCAAGTCCCATTTGTTAACAAGGATGTATTAGCTAGTTTTCATGAACTATATAGGCTACATTATGCAATATACATTTTTTTACAGCATGTATTAATATTTGAGCAAGACAATTGTACCTTGATCATTCATGTTAGTTCATAGTACATTAACTAAGGTTAACAGGCAAAAAATAAGTCAATTTAAAATGTATTAGTAAATGTTGACATTAACAAACATCTAGTCAACAAATTAATTACTTTATAATGATATGGCAACATGGACTGTAGTGTTCTGTATTCATACCGTTTCGCTGTCAGTGTTTTAAATGCGCATCTAAAGTGTCAGCGCTCTCTGTGCAGCGCGCAGCCTCACATGTTACAATAAACAACCGGCGGTGCCAGTGATAGTTTTTATTTGTCCTCTAGAGGCCGCTCTCGCTCTGTATAATACCAGCAGTCTCTTCTCAGCGCTCTCGTACTGTGTAATGACAGCACACTCTTCTCAGCCGCTCCAGCAACGGACGAACCCGGAAAAACTATTGGTATGGATTTTTGCAAAACGAATGAATCGGTAGACCTCTAAACAAAGCTATTATTATCAAAGCATGTGAGCAGAGTGGGAAGTGAATGAGACTGTAGCATCATTTTACCAGTTCTGCCAAGCACAGCTATACCACGTTACAGCACAGTATAGGGCTATTGTAAACAGAACAGTCTACTACAGAGAAATTTCATGTTGGCAGGTTATTTGAGCAGACTTTGCTTTTCCGGTAAGCGTGAGCAGTACATGTGTGGAGCGTTCGCTGTGCGGAGTGGAACATTGAGCAGAGCAAACTGGGTGCCGGTACAGACTTACCTGCTCGGTCAGTGTCGCTTTGAAGTTGTGCATCTATGGACGCGGAGCCGCACGCAAAGTTACAAAAAAATGCTGTGAAACCTGAGTGCTGAACACTGAGGGCCAGGGTGGCATATATTTTCGGCCTTTTTTCTCTTTCAGCCAAAAACTGAAAATGTCATTTTCGGCCGATATTTTTTCGCAGGCCGAAATTTCGGTGCATCCCTAGTGAAAACTCTCCGGCATTTTGACATTTTTGTATTTAGGCACGTATCCGAAGCCCAGTTGCTTATCTGCATTCGCCTTCGACTCAGAGCGCGCACACAGAAAGCCACCTAGCGAACAGTGTTTTGCGGCTTAATGTGCTTTTAATAACACTGTTTAATATTAAACATGTCCCACAGTTACAGTAGACAGCATTTTACAATACTCACTTATTTGGCTGATTTGAAGGTTAAGTTTGGAAGCACTGTGAAGGAAAGGAAGGTGTGCTGGCTGGAGGGAATGCGGCACAATAATCGTATTACCTCGATTATCTTGTTTTCGGAATCGTTGGAAGCCAAAATCGAAATCGAAAAACAAATCTGATTAATCGCACAGCCCCAACTGATATTATTATTCATTAATTAAAAAATGTCTATAGATATCACAATAATATTGCTATCATGAATTCTTTTGGCCACAATAACCATGTAGCGAAATCATCACAGTTTTTTGGATGTAGCTGACAAAGAATGTGAGGTAGTTGGCCCACACAAGGCAAGCATCTTCTCACCTTTCTCTGTGGCGTCTGATCCACGGCCCCTCCCTCTGCCTGTTCTTTCAGCTCGGGATTCGTTCCTGTTGTCCACTCTGCTCTCATTTCTCATTTCCTCCCTTCCATGTCCTCTTCCATAATTCCTTTCCTCTTGGGTTGTTGTTTCCTTCTTTCTATGGGGTTCATTTCTTTCTCTCTCTCTTTCCCTCTCTCTTTCTCTTTCCCGGTCCCTCTCCCTATGCTCCAGGGATTCCCGTCCTGAGCGGTCTCGCGTTTCTGCTGCACGGGCATCCCGAGTGTCTTTGACCTCCCCGCGGTGCTGGCGCTCTTCGCGGACATCTCGTCTATCCCGTTCACTGCGGCGGTCTCGGCTGTCCCTGCAATCACGCTCATCTCGGGAAGAACTCTGCTCAATATCGTAGTCCCGCTCATCACGGCTGCTGTCTTTCTCACGTTTCCCGCGGCTCTCTAAGGGCAGAATGGAAATTAAGTGAGCAACGGAGTGCATCACGTGTATCACCGTTTCCACAAAAATATTAAGCAGTACAACTGTTTTCAACATTGATAATAATAAGAATTGTTTCTTGATCACAAAATCAGCATATTAGATTGATTTCTGAAGGATCGATTGACACTGAAGACTGGATTAATGATGCTGAAAATTCAGCTTTGCCATCACAGGAATAAATACATTTTAAAATATATTGAAATACAAACAGGTATTTTTAATTGTAATAATATTGTTTACAATATTTCTGTTTTTACGATCAAATAAATGCAGCCTTGGTTAGCATAACAGACTTCTTTCAAAAACATTTTTCAAAATCATACAAATACCAAACTTTTGAATGGTAGTGTATTTTTACTTGCAATAATGCATGTGTCATGAACCTAAAGTATTTGTTATATGGTTCCCGGTTAATTTTGATTGTGTGCCATGTTTCAATGAAGACAGTTCAGTCAGCTGAGGCTCTGAACAAGTCACTGACTTTGTGGATGGACTCATTAAAAAAATAATTGGCTCATTTGTTCGCAAGTCATTAACATCAAAAGCCAAATACTCTAATGACTGTGTAATACAGAAATATGTGTCTCTCACCATCTCTGCGCTCATGCCGCCTCTCCTGCAGTGCTGGACTCCTGTCTCGCTCTGCTCTCCCCCTCTCCCTGCCCTGCGAGCGGTGACTGGCACTGGGGCTGGACCTGCGATGGGCGGGTGTTGGTGAGGGGTCTCTCTGGGGGGTGAGTGGAGAGCGGGAGCGACGTGAAGACTGAGCGGGAGGGGGTGAGGATGAGGATGGAGGAGGAAGGTCTCGGTAAAGAGGAGAGACAGAACCCCGTCTGTGGCGAGGGGATGGGGAGTGTCTCTGAGCCGAGGAGCCAGAGTGTGAAGAGGGAGAGTGGTGTTGTCGAGAGGGAGGGGAGGGGCTGCGGCGGTGACGGGGTGGAGTTCTAGACCTGAGAGAGGAAACGCATAAGATTAAATTGATAGCTGTACCCACAATATCTCTAAAACAAAATAGTGATGCAAGTAAAACGTCAGGATATTCCCCTCATATCTGTCAGCTTGTAGGGACTTAAGGCCGTGACACACCAAACCAACATCAAAGAACTAGCAGGGACAAAAGCCGACTGTGCTGTCACCTCCCGTCTGCACCAAAAGATTGAACACACAGAAGACAACAGCCAACTAGCATGAACATTCTGTGCCTGTGTTAGAGGAAAGAACTGTCTATAGCAGCAAGTGGCAGTAGTCTATATTCATCATTCAAAAAGGGAAAACAAAACTATGACTGCAGCTATACAAACCGTGAACAAAGAAGCTCTTGCTTACCATTTTGAGTATGAATCATGTCGATCACTTTCTTCATTTCAGACAGTCATGCCATTATGAAAGTATTTGCGTATTGGAATGCTCAGGTAAGATTATTATGTAAAATTAGAATAGCCTTCTGTATTAGGGGTGTAAATCGGACAGTTAATCACGATACGATACGATATCGATTCTCTCAGCCAGCGATACGATATTTGCCGATACCTCAAAAAATTCTATGATTCGATTACGATTCGATCCGATTCAGGGCTATATCGATCGATTAATCGATATTTAGATATTATGTGCTAAGTGTACACAACCGGTTACGTTTATTAACTCACAATACATCCAAATATATATAACATGAATGTTTAATTAAACTCTTTGAAAATTGCACACCCTCTCCCAATTGGGACATTTACAAGTTAAAAAAAAACATGATAGCCTATATGAAAATGAACAAGAACGCAGTTATCTGTTTTTGCAAATGAACTCTTCTGTTATATTAAAGTTCATTGAAAGGATGTATATATATATATATATATATATATATAAATATATATATATATATATTGTGTGGCAAAAGCAGATAACTCCACATTTCATGTTTCAGAGTTAAACAAAGCCAAGTATTTGCTATGATACATAATAAAACACTTGGTTAATCTTTGTAACGCTAATCTCCTCAGCTGATATAGACGCCTGTCAAACTTTGTTGTTGTGATTAACGTACACAAAATACAGAGAGCTGTTCACTCACCACTAAACGTGCTGTTTTAGCAAGATTCCGTGACAAAGTTTCAGCTTGTATTTTACTTTTATGCCCCGAATATCACGGGTTCATCAAGTTCGCTGAAATCCATCCTCGATCACTTTTAGTCAGCTTGACGAAACTCCTCTCAGCTAGCGCGTATTTTCAAAGTGACAAGCAGCCTTGTCACCTGACCTGAATACTGCGCACTGATTTGCTAAAACAGACTTTTCGGGGCTTGTTGTTTCTGCTGTAAAACATGAACTCGCGATGATGGTGGAAAATACCGGCTTCTGTGACAAAGGGTTCAGTCAATCTTGTCAGGCGTCTATTTCAGCGGAGAAAAGTTACGTGAGGATGTGGAGTGTGTCAAAATAAAGGTACCGTACATCGATATTTTATGTGTGGTATCGATGCATCGTATCGTTAGACGTTTGATCGATACATCGATCCATATCGATGTATTGTTACACCCCTATTCTGTATGTGCACTCTTCACTTTCGCTATTCTACTTGTGCACTGGTTTGCAAAGCTGAACAGCCAATCAGAGTGATCGGTCTCACTGGACTGCCTGACACTGATTCAACATGATCAATTGAACAAAACGCCACGGGCAGGCTCTGACACCCCAAAAACTGATCTGACAGACGCTTACCTTGCCCATCGGCTTGGTGTGTGAAGGTCTAAAGAGCCATTACTCCAATCAGATGTGTCACACATGAACCTTCAGAAATCATTCTAATATTTGATGAATAGGTTTTTTGTAACAATGTAAAATACTTATTAAACAATTATTTTAAAGAATTATATTAAAGAATTAAAAACTAACAATTTTGTTTAGGATTTGATTGATTTTGACACTTAACTGATCAAAATACTGCAAGGCTCATTGATATCTCAAAGATATGTCAGAAGTGACACTGGATTAACAATTATTTAAGTGCAGCTCTTCTCACCTCTGCTGCGAGGCTTGTTTTTGGGAGGTGGGTTTGGGGGATGATGACTTCCTTCTGGTTGGGGGAGACACTTCCCTGGAGGGTGGGGAAAGGCTTCCAGAACGTTCCTCTGATGTTATTGAGCGTTTGGCTTTATGGGAACTATCTGATCGGTCCCTGTAATCAAGGAAAGGTCAAAGATTGATATATCGTTTTATAATATTCAAACTAAATTATATTTAGTTTGATATTTAGTCTGTAAATATCTCTTAACAACACAATGCAATCACTAGTAAGACTTCCTGTTAATAAAGTATCTAGTAAGAATGTTCTATATTAACAATGCATTAAATCACATTACACATTAATAAACCACAACAAATAAAACAATTTAAGTAATGTCTCATGTCTCAAGTCAAGTGAATTACGGGTCATTGGACAGGCGTCCAATCACAACTGACTTCCGGAAAAGGGGAAGTAGCCAATGACATTTGAGGTTATTAAAACAGTAAGTCCCGCCCCTCGACTGCCAAAAAATAAAACTGTTCGATCGAGCAAAAGCAGCAGGCAAGAGCAGATCGAGCGCGAGAGCGTGGGGAATGACCATGCGCGCGCGTGGGGATTGAATTGTGTGCAGAGGAGATGTCATGCGCGCGCGCACGGTTTGAATGAGCTCGCGAGTTCCCGTTTCCTCGCGTGTAGATCTGTTATCCTCTTGCAAAAGTCATTTACCGCACGTGCCAGCATCAGTTGTGCGCTCGTTTATTTTAGTCATTGATTTGCCGCCATAAAGTTGCATTTCCACTTGGTACTTCCGGGGGGCTTAATCGGGCCTACTTTGGGCTTCCACAGGGCCAACTTCCAGGGTTTTTGGTCACCGAATACCTTGGTCCAAAGCGGACCAACTGGGGCTTAACCGGTTAACTCATATAACTCCTGTTTTCTGTCCATGAGCTCCCTCTGTTGCTCTGGCTAAAAGGATAACAGTATAGTGAGACAGGAGAGATCTCTCAAACATCCTCAGATCGCATAATGGTGGAAAATTAATAGAAATGTTCATTCTTTCTAAAGAAATTTGACAAACGTGTAATTTTATCAATATTTCTCTAAACGTGTAAGCCTTTGGATTTAAAAGCCTTAATGGAGTTGATTTGTGCGATCCTGTGACAAATAAATGGAAGCAGGAGCAACTGAATAAGCATGTGTTCTCTTTATATGTAGTTTTCAGTCAGCTAGTTGTGTTTTTCTATGGAAACGTGTTAAGGACAGGTTTTAGGGTAGCGCTGCAGGGCGACTGGCCCGACAGTGGAAACGCAGCCTGATTTTAGCCTCTCAGCTCTGCCCGACACATGTTAGCCCTGGCTTGCACTGGCCCGACAGTGGAAAAGCAGCTTATGACAATCTATTAGTGCTGTCACAATACCATTATCTCAGTAGTCAGTACCAACCAAACCCAGTAGTATTTTATGATGATCTGTTCCAATGTTGGTACCATAGCAAGCACCATTGGGAACACACTCCCTTGACCTCAACAGACATGTCTTTGAATTGTCAACATTGCAAAAAACATTGTAAATATAAATATACTCAGAGTGCAAACACAAATGTGCAGAGGAAGGTTTCAAAGCAGCCATTTATCAAATGGTACAAAATAGATGCAATCCTGCTGATACTGCAGAAAGACTGGTAAAATATCACTTTTAACAATACTACAATGTATGAAACTTTATGTTTTGTGGATTTGGTTTTAAGGTGACCATACCTGCGCTTTTCTTTTTTCTCTTTGTGTTTCTCCACATCTCGTCCTCTTTCTTTGCCTTCTTTAGGTTTGTCCTCAGATTTCTCCTTGTTTTTGTGTTTATTTTTGTGTTTCTTCCCAATCACTGGGTTCTCCACAGGAACAGGTGGAGGAGGACTGGGTGTCCGTGGCCCTTTTCTTTTTCCATGGCCACTCTTAGATGACCTGGTCAAAAAAGTAAATAGCAGTTTAAATTGATAAAAATTTGTTTAAGTTCAACTAAATGCAGATCATTTTCCTAACCTGCTGTCTGTCTCCTCTATCCTGTTCTGGTCAGACACTGGAGAGGAGATGACTGAGGAAGTGGAGGACTTTTTTTCTTTCTTGCCGGAGTTCCCACCTTTCCCTGCTCTATGTTTGGGTGAGCCGCTGGATTTACGGGATGAGGGTGAACCCTTAGAACTGGTGTGCTCAGGAGAAGCCTAAGACAGATCAAGAGCACACCAAAATAAAACTCCAAGGATACCAGTCTGTAATAAAAGGCTAACACTAAAATGAACATTAATTTAGACTTTCTTTATTTTTGCCTGTGTTTAAATAACTTACCCTGTCCTTAGAAGAACTACTGGTCCTGGTCTTGGAGACTGGTTCCTGTTGAGAACATGTATGTCATTACTATCTGTATTGATACATTCAGGATAACTCACATTAACCTTCTTTCAATATTTGGAGTTAACCGAATGTCTATGGTAACATATTAATCAGTAAAATGACTGCAAAAGCCATGATTTAAACAACTTTACAGTTCAAATGTAGATTGACAAAATATACTCTAGATATCTAATTCCTCCTTTATTAAGCATTATATGGAGGTAATATGAAAAGAATATGCCATCAAATCTTTTCTGAAGACAGTCCGTTCCCTTCAGATAAACATTCATATAAAAAAACAGCTCCACGTTTTTACTTTGAACAAAGTACCTAACACAAAACTTTGTTTAAAACAAAAACAAAACAAAAACACATTATGTGGGTTTAAATTGCTGGGGTCCAATTGACCCCAGTGGGTAAAAATGCTGGTAAATTTGAGGGTAACAGGAGGGCCAAGAATGGAATGTTTCACATGTTGTTTGCCAATAAATAAAGAGTTGTCAATTAGTGATACTTTCTCATCTCTTCATTTTTTATACTTAAAATACACTTAATATACAATAGAATTGTTTAATTCAGTGATCGGTATTGGTGATCGTAGCGCCCAACACTGCTTCCAATGATCGTAATCGGCCCCAAAAATCTTGAACGGAGCACCCTTATTCTGAAGTTTAGTCATGAGTAGGGTTGTGCCGACAGACGATAGTATCGTGTATCGACGATAGTCTGAGATATCGCCGATGGCAGATGCATTTGACGATATCAATATGATAATTGGCTCGTTTTACCATTAATGTATTAAATTATTATTATTTTAAAGATAGTATTGTTATTAAATTAATATTAGGAACTACAATTAATTTGCTTTGCCTAAATTCATAACTACATCACCACATAGCCTAACACTTGTGACAACACCAACACGCGCGTATGAGGACTCTAAGAAAAAACTACATCCCACATCAAAATTGAATTGCAAGGTGATCCTTTCATTCACAAATTGTCAAGAGTGCTTGTTTTAACAGACGCATCATTCTTATACTACAGATCCAAGATGAAAACGGTATCGTTGTTCGTCAGGATTTTGTTTCCATAGCACATTAATCAAATGTTTAATGACACTAATAACACTAAAAACAATACAATTAGGCTACTAAATATTAATATTAATATCAGCACAACTCTGCCATCTGTGAAAATCAAAAGTGGCTTCAAACTTGTTTAACAAGAAATATTCTTCTAATCTTTTCACTGTCATTATGTAGAAATATTAAGCCAGTAAATTAAGATAGTGGCTATACCGTTATGTCCATCGTCGTCTCTGAGAGAACGCGGCATTAATGCAGCGACAGATGCCGAAAGCACAGTCCGTTTTTACTTTCACTTTCAGGTAATGAGCGCGTTTACATGCACGTTCTTAACCCGATTATGCTGAATAAACTGACAATGCATGTTGTCATGTAAACGCATTGACCCGTTTTCCTTTATCAGAGTCAAGTCATAAGTTTATGTATAAACGGATCGACTCAGCTAGATTTTTGCCCCTTACTCTGATTTCTCCCGGCATTTAAAACACATTAACCCGCGTTCTTTGGGCTTATTGAAGTGCGCATATGTGAAGTGCATCCAGGCAGAGAGAGAGCACTGGTAGGAGGACATACATCGCAAACTCTGACTCTTTCTTGACCCAAGAAATTATTAAAACGTGTTTTCATCTCGTGCAGAAATAGTCAAAATGCTGCATCTGTAATAGCATGAGAGGATAATGTGCGTCTGTAAATTTCCCGCTGACATGTTGAAATACTCTGAGTCCGATACAAAAATGATTAGGATCTTTTTTTACCTCACTATAACGGGAAATAACCTGATCAAGCCTATTAATAAACACTCCACATTTGCTAGCAAAATAGAACAAAGATTCTCGTATATTAAACGAAGTAATAAAACAAGCAAATTAATGAGTAAATGATCAAGTTAAAAATCAAACAAGTAAGCCCCGCCCCCTCACAATAATATCGTGTCTCGCCGATCTCACAGGCTGACGATAGGACGATATCAAAATGGAGCATATCGCCCAACACTAGTCATCAGATTATCAGAAGTCCTATCGCAATTCCTGTTTTTCCATCCCCAAATTTAAGAACTCTTGAAATTATAATTAAGAAAAAGTCTAATACCATTTAAGATATTGAAGAATTTTTATGGCCTTAAATTTGATATAACTGAATTTAAGACTTTTTAAGGACCTGCGAGGACCCTGCAACGTGCAACCCAATCTAATATACCTCTTTCTTGATGATGATATCCTCTCGTTTTTCCATGTTTTCCTGTTCCAGCTTCATCAGCTCACGTTGAATCTTCTGTCTCTTCATTTCAAGAGATAACTCGTAATCGTAATCACCGTTATCAGAATCTAGTAAAATCAATGACAAATATATAACTGCTGAGAAACAAATGGCAAGGAGACAACAAAGCATTACCTGTGATGAGAGGAAAGACTGTACTGCATTCAAAACCCCTTCATCAATTATCCATCAAGTTCACCCAAAAATGACAATTCTGTTATTTACTCACCTTCATGTTGTTCCAAACACAATTCATCTTCAAAACACAATTGAAGATATTTTTTAATTGGGTCTTTCAGTCACATATAAACATTGATCAAAGCACATACAAAGAGCACATCAAAAATGGAAGCTTTAACGTGCTTGCTTGACATGCAAGAAACAATGAGGTTTTGTTCTCGTGCGTCAAGCAAGTACAGTTTAGTTTACCATTAGAGCTGCACAATTAATCGTAAAAAGGTTGCGACCTTTAAACACCCTCACGATTGACCTGGCTATGTCTTTTAAACCTTTGACAAATATGTATAGGTATTCATGTAAAGGAATGAAACAGGAAAAAAAACTGTCTTTTCAACCACACAGTATCATTATTTATGTTATAATGATTACATTTTAACAGAAGTACTGGGATAAAAGATATAAACACTGAAGTCTACAGTAGCGACCAAAATAGAGTAAATTGCCTATTGAAACTAACTTGATGCTTCAAATAAAGATTGTATTATTACATTGTTATATCAGAAAGTGGCGACAAGGGACAGTTTAAAAATTTTGGGGAAAATGTACTTGTCATTGAATCATTAATTCAAAAGATTTGTTTGTGAAGTCTTTATGAGTGAGTCATTGAGTCATTCATTGGATCTTTTTTTTTTATTAAAATATATTTTTTTCAATGGTATTTTTTATGTTTAGTTGTATGTTCAGAATTGTGGACGAATCGTGATCTCTGTTTGAAACAAAAAAAAAAAGTGATTCTCAAGAATCGTGCAGCTCTACTTACCATATTTGATGTGCTCTATGTATGTGCATTGATCAATGTTTATATGCGAATAAAAGCCTAAATTAAATCTGTTCATATAAAGTGATCAAGTCTGTTCAGAAGATAGATAGAGTGTCAATTAAAATTCTTTTTTTAAAAGCGTTTAAAACGTGTTTCAAAGATGAAAAAAGTATTCCGGGTTTGGAATGGGTGTGCGAGGGTAAATAATTGATGACAGCATTTTCATTTTTGGGTGAACTATCTCTTTAAATGTCTTCTAATCAGACAGATACATCTTTTTTTTTTTAGGTAATTTGGAGAATCTTCACCTTCACGACTGGCTTCCCAATCTGCTGTATCCTCCTCACTAGCAGGAGTGCGTTCCTTTGTGATTTTAATATCCTCTTTCTCCCTGTGTCTGCCTCGGGATGAATCTCGCTGCTAATGAAAAACACAAAAAGTCAAAGAACTCACCAAAAACAATCAAACAACAATGGCAAATTGTCCAAGCAAATCTAAGCTGTTAGAGCAGCCTACTCTGGTTGTAGGTGAAGTGGGTTCGTCTGCGTCTCTTTTCTGTGTGTCACCATCTACATCCTGTCTCTTATTCTTCATCCTCTCCCTGAGATCCCCAGGGGGCCTCTCGGCTGACCTGCAGACCGGCACACATGCAGAATGTCAAGCATTCGGCCAAGAATTTGAGCAGGTACATTTACGAAACAGCATCTCTTCAATGGACTCTCACCTGCTGAACGTTCCAGAGAAGCCTTTTCCTCGTGATGGGGTTCCATGTGTGTACCGACACGTGTTACCGTAACTGCAGTTCCCAGTCTTTAACCAGTTTCTACAATGAGTCTGCAAGGGAAGACAAATGTCGGACAGTCTGTTGCATTTATACACTTTACAAGGGCACCTGGACCAAAAAAATGATAATTTAATACCCAGTGAGGTACTACCTAGACACCGGAAATAGTTTCTAGGTAGGCAGCTCACCAAGTTTTCATTGCTCAATAGTGGGTGACGAGTATCCCTACCTCTGCTGCATTACTGGCCGTGCTGGGCCCGAGTCTCTCAAACACACTGGGCCTGCGGGAGGGGGTGGTCGTACTACTGCTGCTGTCCGATATGGTCTTTGAATTCTCCACTGTAACCTTCCGCCTGATCTTGGACATTCTGCAGGGCTGCATTAGAAAAATGGCAAATAAAAGGCACCAGCATTTTGAAGCTGAATGCAGTGTTGTAGTTAAGACCAGCTCACTGAGTCAAGTCACACAGAGACCAGAAGATGGTCAAGTTCAAGTCAAGAATAAGACCAGAAGAGGGTTGAGGCCTTGTCAAGACAGAGATTGAAGACGAGGAGTTCGATTCAAGACAGAGTCCACATGCTCCCTGCAGGTGCCCTAATATAGCTTTAGTCTAAATGACAATGACAAAGAAATTATGGCCTTGGCTTTGTTAGAGACCAAGAAAACATGGCCTGTTGAGTCATGTCATGTACTTGGAAGCATGTGGACTATGTATTGGCTCAAACTCAACTCTCTTCTGGGTTTGGTCTTGACTCTTGTTCTCAACTACAACACTGGATGAATTACATTACATTAATTCTAAGGTCACATTCATATCTAACTACCTCAGCCTACAGCCTATATATTATTGTGCCATTCAAGTGGAGTCTGAAATCTGGAAATGGCGACTTCCGAGCACATGAAGTCATATTTACAAGTGGGAAACTCGGAATTCTAGATGGGACACGAGTTCCTGTTCCTGTGCTGTGACGTTGGAAGGGAAGTGTCGATTTGAAACATGGCAGCAACAATGATAATATATATAATATAGCTTTAGTCTAAATAGAGATCAGAGCCTGTAGTAACAGTGTTAAATCACTAAATTTTCAGTTTCAGATCTAGCTTTTGGGGTTTATTGTTCACACAATATAATTCATTTGTTTTGTCTTATGTACTTCAATGAGTGGGTTTCCACACTTTTTGACCAGACAATGAATGTCCATGACATTTCCAGTCGTTCATGATTACTGCGTGATTTTTTTTAAACTACTGTACAAAGATTGCTGAGAAAGATTTATATCAGGTACCAATCCCGAATATTATGATATTTACACAATTATAATCTACTTATTTGTGAACAAACGTCTCCAAAACGACAAAAAACTTTCATGACTTAAATATTTTATTAAATTTGATAGTTCCTTCCTGTTTTCCCGTGACCGTGGGAGCCCAGTTCATTGTAAACACTAGCACAATAGTCACATGTGTGCAAATGCGACTGCCTGTCTCTCTCTATAAGCTGCATTAACAATATTATAGCTACTAGCAAGGCATGCGAGGTTTCACTAAAAAGGTATTTTATAATCATTTGCGTGTTTTAAGTAGTCATTCATTAGCAGAATGCTACGGTAAGAGCCGCATATAATGCCGCGCGGCCTACATTGATAGCACAAGCCTCGATAACGACCCCGCTGAAACTGCTGCTGATTGACCCGTAAACAAATACAAACAGGAACTTTACCCGAATATGAATGATGCGTCAAGTCCAGTTTCACAGACTGTTGGGGATAAACTCCTAATCACATGCAAAAGTCTTGCAAAGCGGTCTTCCCCTTGGCCGCCGTCATGATGCTGGCGAGACAGCGCAAACTGCACCGAAGTACTGAGGAGAGGAGGATTATGGGAAAGTGGAGGGGGTATTTTTTGTTTGTTTGTTTTAGATTTTGTTTAAACCGTTCCTTGAAAAAATAAATAAATACAATATACATGGAAAATGTAGTTACTAATTTAATCTATTAGATTACGCTTTTAGGTAGCCTAGTATGTTGACTACGTTTTTCTTTACTTTTAGATTACTTTTGATTTGTCACATAGACTTCAGTAAGATTTTGTACCATATGAGACCAAATATAGTGAATTATTTGTTATAAAAATGGAGATATCTGCAAAACCCATTAATTTTTTAAAAAAAATTGTAACTACTGTTTTTCTTTGAAAGTCTTTAAAACTGTTGATGACTGGTATAAATGTATCTTTGGTGGCATACTAAAGTTTCTGTATTGCTTGCTTAGTTATAGCCTACATAACTTCAACCAGACTTTTGTATTTAAATCAATGTTACTCTTTTTCACATGCATGCATTCAAATATAAAGATTCTTAATACGTGTTTTTCTCCACACAAAAAAAACTGCTCCATATGGTTAGAAACATGCTATGATGTAAATAAATAGCAACCCTATTACAGTAGGCTACTTTTGCAACATTTAGTTATATTCTACAAGCGACTATTTAAATCTTGACATTTTAATTACTAAGTGGCTAAAATATTTGGCCACATAGTGTTTTGCACATTTATGTGTCCGATAAATGTTGCTCATGGGGGTATTTTGCATAGGCCTATATATGAACAGAATAAAGTGAGCAATTATTTTTTGTTTTAGCATTTAGCATTTTCCACAAATGTGTTTATGGAGAAGGCAGGACACTAATTGGCCAAAGTAATAGGGATTTTACTAATTATTCTGTGCCATATCTCAGACTCATTTGGTAAATAACAAGCTTAAATATGATGCAAGAGCCTTTTCTTATAGTTTTCTATTGTTTTCCTGGATTAAAAACAACTTCACAACCTTTACAACTTAAAAGTAAAAAGTAAGCCAGCAAGCCACATTTTTTATGATCAATTTTGATACCTTGGTTAAGGCTATATTTAAATCACATAAAGGCCCTCCAATGTAAATGAGAAGGCAGAGACCAGTGGTGCACAATTACATGTCATCTAAAATATGATGTGAAACAATTCAACATAAAAGTTAAAATAACACGGTAATGACAAATAAGACCCTTCTTGGATTTATCTGTGTTATAATGTAGATGCCACAAGCAAGCGCTTTGAATGGCCATGCTTGTGTGGAGTTTAATTATGTGAATCCTTAGTGTGTTATTTCCATTGAGGCTGATTTTTTACTCTGTATAGTAGAAAAGAGATGAGATTTGTCATGTTCTCTGAAGAATCAAAATTAATGATATCTTGATATCTTAAACTTTTAAATTCAGTCAGCTCTTTCACTTTTGCCTCATTCATTTTTAACATTGCACAGAGAAAGAGTCTTATTGGTCATTACCTTGTTATTTTAACTTGAATTGATTGTTGAATTGTTTCACATCATACCTGTTGTGGTAAGTCATGTTTGTATGAAGAACACAAGGAATGTTTTTAATTCATGATAGCAATATTACATGTACATCTTGAGTATGAATGTTTACCAGGTGGTACATCCATGGAGATTGTAGGAGGGAATCTCACACCAACGAATGAAGGAGTACATATTTGTAATGGTATTACAATAACACGGTAATGAAACATTGTGAGGCTTTCCCACTGAAAACAAATTTGGTGTGCTCCCTTGACAGATCAAGGCACTGAATTTGTAAATAAGTTTAGTGTTTTACATTTTTATATATATGTTTTATTATATCATGTTACGCTTCTATTGTTCTGACAATAAAGGGTTATTCTTTATTTAAAGATGTCCTTGTTACAGTGTAATTATACATTTAAGTACTTTAATTAACATGTGCTAAATGAACACGTACTCTCTCTTCTCCCTCATCATTATTTTAATATATTTCCACCAATGGCAAGTTCAGATCTGTTCATGAAAGTCACATTTTATAATGGCATGTGTCTTTTTATATTTAAATGAGACAAAAACTTGTTTGACAATGTCTTGTAGGCTTTGCAAACAGAGCACAATGGGATTTTGTAATGTTCATAGACTTCTTCAAGATTATTACACACAAATATATTAAAGAGACGGGTTTAAGAGCTGTTTAAACTGCTATTTATTTTTCCTCTGTATCACCCTGCTCCAAAACTGATGAGCATCGGTGAACATGATTTCACCAAGTACAACATGATCAACACCTTTGTCTGCCTTGTCCCCAGAGGAAGCACCAGTGCCCTCCTTGTCCCTTAAAATGCACCTGGGCTTGCCTCACCCCAAGAAGAAGAACGTCCTCATCCCCAAAAGAAGCACCTGTGCCTGTCGCCTCCCCACAGGGAGCACCCACTCGAAAGAGACCATGCCTATGGAGCTTTGGAGCTTTGGTAAGTCCCTTCTCATAAGAAAGCTGCTGTTTAATTTGCAGAATGACCAGACTGTGTTCTCCTGTGCTCAGGAGTCTGTAGTCAAACTCGCTGTACTTTGTATTGCTGGCGTGTTGCGTGATGTATTACGATCTTCAAGCAGAAGGAGCTGAATTAAATATTCGGAATGATATCAATCCATAATCTGGTTTGTGATGCAATCTGGAATCATAAATCACACCATGTTTGTTAATTTGGCCAGAGTAGAACTGGACTGAGCCTGGTTTCTCCCAAGGTTTTTTTTCTTCTCCTTTCTGTCACCTGATGGAGTTTGGGTTCCTTGCCACTGTCGCATCTGGCTTGCAACTGACATCAGCTGAAAAATGACACTGTTGTCTTTTTAGAGCTGCTTTACAGCTGAATTTAATCATGTTTGCATCATTGATCATTAGTTTTCTGTTTATCACTGTAAAGCTGCTTCGAAACAATCTGTTTTGTGTAAAGCGCTATGTAAATAAAAGGTGACTTGACTATTGAGAAACACCTAGAAAATTGCAAAGTATAAACACACCAGACCACTCCATTCCACTCAATGTGATTTTTCCATAATAATGTGGCCCACGTGAATCTTGACCATTTACACTGAATACATATATATATATATATATATATATATATATATATATATTGATATTGATGCCAGTATGCCATACCAAAGACTTTGGGGCGGGAATACTTCCACTTGTTTGTTTTCTTGACTTTCTTGAGCATTTTTCTGAAACTAAAAGTATCAAGAAGCAAATTAGAAACCAATACCGAGTGAACAATGTTTTATTGTGGTAAAAACAGCTGTAGTAAATATAGGCTACTTGGTATATTAGAACACACTTGCATACACACAAAACAAGAACCTCACTCTCAAAAAAGTTATCAGTTGATGTTTTAAGCACATTTTAAGTACACATTTTGTTTAGTTAGGAGTAAAAGTTAAGAATCTGAATCTGTACTGTGTGCTCAGGTTGTTGCTGGAAGCCCTTTATTGAGTTTTCTTGATCACATGTAAGGCTATGATCTTTGATGCCAGTAGAGCCTCATTACAGGCCTGAGGGATAAAGCTGGGAGGAAGAAGAAACCCATATCGACCACGATCCTGAAGCTCAAAGGTGAAGGAATATTTTATCCCAAGATTATACGCCCAGTCATCAGAGCCTCCTGGGGCCAAATCTTGTGAAAGAAAAACAAACGTATTAACATAACAAAGAAATTTCAAATACAGTTATCAATAAAATATTTGTATTCTAAGAACAGCAGAAAGCTTACAAATGGTGTTTGCACCCGGACCATATTTATAGATAGTCCTGTAGTATCTGCGTATTTTTGTTGAAGCTTCCTTAACAAGTTCAAACTGTCAGAAAGAAGTTATAGAAGTTTTTTAAAAAACATTCTTTTTACTTGTATTATTTACTAGAATGGCCCGCCACAAACACAAACGCTCATGCATTAACTTCATCACACACCAACTCATTGTGGTTTGGAACCTCATCATAGGAACAGGAGTAAGGAAACAGAAGCATCTGAGAGTAGGAGTGAATGGAGAGGTACAGCTTGACTGTGTCCTTATGTGAGCGCAGGAACTGGGCCACGGCCTGAGTCTCTGGTTCAGACTCTGGGAACTGACCGCAATAAGTAGGATCACATGGATCACTGGAGGCACCCTTCGCTTTAGAACAGAGTGGAAGAATTAAACCAGGAGTAATATCAATTCAAAAGAGAAATAAAATTATAACAGTGGTTTTTAATGAAGGTTTAGTATTTGGAACTCACTGCACCAGTTTGCATCAAAATTTCTGTTCAAATCGGCTCCAGCACACTCGCTGTCTTTGTTAACAGAGCGGTTTTTCCTCCACATACGATCCTTGTTGGGAAATGGTAAAGTTGGTCAAGATAAGATTAATGTCATAAGGATTTTTTTCGAATAAGTACTGCTAAATTTGGATCAAGAAAATGTCAGTGATAAATTCAGCTTTTCCATTTCAGGGAAATTAATAATACACTCAAACTATGTATTATTATGATTTTAACAGCATATTAAAAGCACTGGAAATAATAATAATTTTAGCATATTACTGTTGTCCATGTATACTTGTATCCATCTGGGTTCATGACTGTCAAGACGTAAATGTCCATGTTGTTCAACATCTCTGTGATTTCAGTGTTCTGGTTGTAAAATTGTAGTGCCTGGCAAAACACAACAAAACAGAAGAAGAAAAAAACTTTCTATTAGATTTCCCATAATTGCTCTAATTTGCTCCAATTTATTGAACAATTACTGGTCGTGAAAGCTTGTAAAGATGTATTTCTCAATCTGCGGTATGTCAAGGTCAAATAAAGGCACAGAACATAGTCAAGCAAGGTAATCCATTATAAAAATGAGAAAAACATATCCACCGAATGGAGCGGCAGGACGAGGGGAAACTATGAGATTTGCTCTATGGGCTCTGTTGCTGAAATGGCACAAACTCAAGGCACCAGCAATATCTACAGAGAGAGACCAAGTTTTTCTGG